TGAGGAATGTGTTTTTGTTGTAGATTAAGGATGTGTCCAGTGAAGGCTTTCACTTGGTTGTCAACATCCCCTTGGAGAAGAGCATTCCAATTGGTGGTGGCAAGCTCAGAGCGAAGGGCTGGCCAATTACCTCTTTCCCATAGCCAGGTTGTGCGTGTGGACTCCTCACCTCGTTCTGTTGGGATCTTAAGTGTCGTAAAAACAGCTTTGTGGTCAGACAATCCAACATAGCCGAGGGGTTGACAAGTGACTATGCCTTCTGCCAGATCACTCACTACTGGGTCAAGGGAGGAGCCAGAGATGTGAGTAGGAAAATCAACAAAGTTTCTCATATCAAACACTGCAAGAAGGTCATCAAAGTCCCTCTGTATAAGGTGCTGGTTGAGGTCACCAACAATTATGATATGTTGACAGTTGTGTTGTAGCAGAAGGGAGTCAATATTTTCCATTAGGAAGTTGATGGGATCTGCATGTTGCCACTGAGGTCTGTACATTGCACATGCTAGTACAGAGGTACTAGTGTTTATGCAGAGCTTGAAGAACATCATTTCAAGATGTGTAGGGGTGGCAACATCAATGTGATGGGCATGAACACTTTTAGAGAAGCACACAGCAACACCTTCTCCTTGCCCTTGCCTGTCTCTTCTCATCCATGAGGTGTAGCCAGCAATTCTTGCAAAATTTTCTGGAGTCCTGTCATCCAAAAATGTTTCAACAACAGCTATCATGTCGGGACGTCGAGTGTTCACAAAACTGTGTGTGAGCTCTCCAACATTAGTAATGAAACCTCTAATGTTGGCCGACAGGATGCTGATAGACTGGCTCCTCATGATGATGTGGTCATGTGTGTAGGGCATGTAAGGTGCCTGCCCTTGAGAGAGGTAGGGTACTGAGGCAGCTGCAGGGATGTAGGTCTGCGGTCTTGTATAAGGCACAATACCACCTGCTGGGCTGGGATAGGAGTAGCTGAGTGGGTGACGTGTGAGAGTGCTCACCAATTCAGAGATCCTGCTGGTTTGTTCTGAGAACAGGTCTCTAAAGAGGTGGTCCTGTCTGTCAAGTTCCTTTTTCTTCCGACACTGGTCCTCCTGATGTCCTTTCTTGTAGCAGTAATTACACCTGGTATCTCGCAGGCAGTTGCTGGCAGTGTGCCCCTTCCGGTGACAGCGAGAGCACAGCCTAGGTGCCTGGGAGGGTGGACTATGATTTGTTGCACCTCCTGTGTTTTGCAGATTTGTCCTCAGGTTCTGCCGCTGGAACTGTGTTAGTGGAGGGTGAGACAACTGTAGATGTCTTCCTCCTCCACGTCCTCTTCCACGTCCTCTGCCTCGTCCTCTACCAGTTCTGACAGATGTGTCCCTGCTGCTCGTACTTTGGCGCAGTAGGTGATCAGGTGAAGTGATAGTTCCCTGATTATTAACTGCACCAATCTCTGGTGGAGAAACTCCTGACTCAGAACTTGCTGATGAAGCACTGCTGCCAGATTCTGGAATAGTGTCGGCAGGTGTGCTGACAGGTGTAGGATCAGAGATGGTATGTGCACTGTCAAGTGGACTGGCAGTGGCTGAAGCAGAGATGTCAGGTGTAGGAGAATTAACAGATCCAAGGTTTCCTTCGTTGCTGGGAAGAGGATTTGTTCCCTCTGTGGTGGTCAGAGGAATTGTGTTAGAATTCCCAAAGGTAGTGTTTTGAACTCTGTCAGTCTGTGGGACCTTAGCGATGACAGAATTCCACCAGTTATTTACCCCTGAGTTAAGCTCAGTGTGGGACTTCCAGTCTTTGTCAATAGTGTCACCATCAGCTGAGCAGCTTACTTCACTTGATGTAGGCTTGCACTGGCCTTCTACAATAGCTTGGAGGTTATCTAATGATTTGAGGAGCTCATGAAGTGCTTCCCTGTGATGGATTATCTTAGCTGCAACTTTACAACACAGCCCAAGAGGGCAGACTTGATCTTTGGACAGAAGTCCCTGAGGTAGGACTTCTGAACCTTCCTCCTGTAGCTCCAGGCTTGTATCCACATATACCACAGGATTATGGATATCCTTCAATTTTCTGAAATTTTCAACTTGGCTGCAACAAAATTCTTCTTCTGGAATGCAGTCTGTGTGGCAGTAGTTGGAACAAGTAGGTTCCTTACATCTAAGAAAAATTTTGTCCCTTGTGGTATACCCACAAACACTGCAGTAACTACTGGGACAGTAGCCAGATAGCATAGATATTCTTGCTATTTTGCGATGTGAAGTCATCCCAGAGGAGGCTTGTAGGTTTGCAATTAAGTTCACAGGAGAGAGAGGGTGGGTGGTGGTATCATGGGTGGAGTGGAGTATCTGGGTGGGGGTGTTTATAGCAGGGTGGGTAATGAGGGCAGGCAGTGGCCGACGAGCTGGAAGTGTTGCCTTCTCACTATCACTTAATGAACTTCTCTCTCTGCCTCTCTACTTCTCTCTCTACCTCTTTTTTTTTTTTTTTTTTACACAGGGTTTGACAAGGTTAGGTTAAGGATCCCTAGCTTTATTGACAAGCTGTTTACAGGTTAAGGATTCCTAACTTTATTGGCAAGCTAAGAGCTGTTACCTACATCAGCTCATTTGAAAGCATTTTTATTGTTATGAGACATACAAGTAAGGAACAGGATGAAGTTGGAGCCATCTGTGGGCCAGCATTTTCATTTGATCAACTGACTATCTCGTTTACATCATTATGCTGTACGAATGTGTTCCATACTCGAGTCATCCTGGGTATATAAGATCTCAGATGGAGTGATGTTCTGGAGAAGGGTACAGCCAGAGTGAAGTTGCTGCTTTCTGCCTGTCTTGTGGCATAAAAGCTTGTTTCATGCTGTCCTCGAAGTGGATCCAAGTGTGGTACTTTGACAATATTGGTCTTGTACATAACAGTAAGGCCACCCACATCCCTCCTATGTTGAAGGCTCTGCTGAAATGACAGATCTATCCAGGATGGGTCCAGGCAAGAGACGAGATGTCTTGCTCTGTTCTCTACTCTGTCAAGCAGTCGCAGATGAGAAGGGGGCAGGCAAACCAAGAAAGTGGAGCATACTCAAGGTGCGAGCCTACTTGTGCCTCATACAGAATCTTGCAACCCCTACTGTCAAGCAGATGCGAGATACGGCGAAGTGCTGTAAGCTTCCTGGCTGCCTTGTTTGCAAGATTTACAACATGGTTTTTCATGGTTAGTTTGGAGTCAAATTTCACCCCAAGGATATCAACTTCTTCTTCAGGTGCCAACACCCTCCCATTCATCCTTACTACTGCACCAGCATTACCATCATGGTGCCTAGAGACGGTCATCATTTGTGTTTTCTCAGGTGCAAATGTTACTTGCCATCTATTTCCCCAAGCTGATATAGCTCTCAGCTGGTGATTGATGTAGCTTAGAGCAGCTGGCATTTCTTCTCTTGGATAAGTGAATGTCAGTGTACAGTCGTCTGCATATGCATGTGATTCTGGGATGAGGTGAAGAAGGTCGTTGAAGTAGACATTCCATAACAATGGTCCCAGCACGCTTCCTTGTGGAACACTTGCCCCAATAGGATATCTTGCTGATTCCGTTCCATTGAGAACTTCACTTAGAGATCTACCATGAAGGTAATCACTGAGGAGACATAGTGTAGAGCCTGCAATTCCCAGTGCTTGAAGTTTTGCTAAGAGGCCCTGGTGCCACACCCAGTCGAAAGCACCAGCAATGTCAAGTGCTACCATACAGCTGACTTTGGATTCATCCAGTGACTGGTGCCACTTAGTGGAGAGGTAGCTCTCTCCTTCTCTTTCTCTCTACCTCTCTCTTTCTTTTCCTCTCTGCCTTTCTCTCTGCCTCCCTCTCTCTCTACCTCTCTCTACCTCCTTTTCTACCTCTCTTTCTACCTCTCTCTCTACCTCTCTCTCTCTCTATGTCTCTCTATCTTTCTCTCTCTACCTTTCTCTCTCTACCTCTCTCTCTCTACCTCTCTCTCTTTACCTCTCTCTCTTTACCTCTCTCTCTTTACCTCTCTCTCTTTACCTCTCTCTCTTTACCTCTCTCTCTTTACCTCTCTCTCTCTCTCTCTCTCTCTCTCTCTCTCTCTCTCTCTCTCTCTCTCTCTCTCTCTCTCTCTCTCTCTCTCTCTCTCTCTCTCTCTCTCTCTCTTTACCTCTCTCTCTCTTTACCTCTCTCTCTCTTTACCTCTCTCTCTCTTTACCTCTCTCTCTCTTTACCTCTCTCTCTCTTTACCTCTCTCTCTCTTTACCTCTCTCTCTCTTTACCTCTCTCTCTCTTTTCCTCTCTCTCTCTTTACCTCTCTCTCTCTCTCTCTCTCTCTCTCTTTCTACCTGCCTCTCTCTACCTGTCTCTTTCTCTACTTCTCTCTCAACCTGTCTCGCTCTCGCTCTTGCTCTCTCTCTACCAGCTCTTTTCTCATTCCTTTCCATCTCATAACTTATTTTTACCCTGCTGACCTCTGTACACACTCCTGAACGTTTTTTCTTTACTATCTTACATAAGTGGGTACCATATCATAGGACATCATACATACCAGCTCTGCCTGTATCTTAGCAAAGTGAAAAATAGATAAAATACCTCAAATTGATGTCGTATTACTAAGCCACAGAGGCATTTTGCTAATGCAGTTGTTTTCAGTTATACCAATTATTCATCTATTCAGATTTCCTACAGTAAATATGTTCACCACTCACTGTAAGCTAAGGATAAAAATATTTTAAGGTAGGTAATGTGTGCACTATATATACATTTTTTAGGCCTGATTATATTGTTCACTTAATATATAATAATGTAAACGTTATCAAGCTTTTATGTGCATTTTAAAGTGAAGAAAGACTGTGTTTCACTTTACAGTGATTTTTGCTTTCCAGCAGTAGTCCAGAACCTAACCTGCTATATAAGTGGGGCTCTCCTGTATATTACAGTAATGTATAGTGAATTTCAAAAAATAATTTAGGTCCAGTACTTTGGTTCTGTTTAAATATTGACTTTTTATTCTTCAGGCTGCAGCCAAACAACAAGAAGCAGATAAGAAAAAACTGCAGGACAAGCTTGATGCAGATTTGAAAGCTCTCCAGCTGAAACTAAATCAAGAGTATCAGGCCCAAGAGGAAAAAATAAAGTATATATTACTTTTTTTTTTTTTACTACCTCAGCATTTCCCACCAAGATAGGGTGATTCAAAGAAGAAAACATATTTGCCATCAGTCATTCAATAGCTCTCCTGCCAGAAGTGCTTGGGCATCACAAGTTAGATGGCTTTGAGTAGATATATGTGTAGGGTGAAAAGGGAAGAGAGAGGAAGGCATTTGTTATACTTTTGATATACCTTTGAAGAGTTTTGAAAGTTTATCTACTCTGAGCCTGGCCATGGGCACAGTATGTTAGGATAGAGGACTGGAATGACTTTCTTTATTGTTTAAAGACAGTTGAATCATAATAAACATTTGACATCAAAATTTTGGTTTGTAAATGGTATAGTGATACCAACAAACTGTAGAAGATGACACAAGTGGCTTCATCAGACCTAGGTAGGATTAATGAAGCCACTTGTGGCAAAACATTGCCTTTAACAAATATCCTGAACTGTGCACAATTGTTCTTTTGTTTGCAAAAGTCATATCAGATGGATGTAAGGTTAGGAAATTACAGTACATCTGTTCTTAGTATTTTTGCAAAGCCCATATTTTAGACATTATTCCTTTTTTTTTTTTTTAACATGTCAGCCATTTCCCACTAAAGCAGGGTGACCTGAAAAGAAGAGAAAAGAAAAAAAAAACTTTCATCATTCAACACTTTCACCATCACTCATACACAATCACTGTCTTTGCAGAGGCACCCAGATGTGACAGTTCAGATGTCCCTCCAAACTGCCAATATCCCATACCCTTCCTTTAAAGTGCAGGTATTGTACAGTACTTCCCTTTTCCAGGACTCAAGTCCGGCTAACTGGTTTCTATGAATCCGTTCCCAAAATATTACCATGCTCACACTCCAATAGCTCATCAGGTCCCAAAAACCATTCATCTCCATTCACTCCTATCTAACATGCTTATGCACGATTGCTGGAAGTCCAATCCCCTCACCCACAAAACCTCCATGACCCCCTTTCTCCAACCTATTTGGGGCTTATCCCTATGCCACTTTCCTTCCCTTACAGATTTATACGCTCTCCAAGTCAATCTACTTTGTTCCATTCTCTCTAAATGATGAAACCATCTCAACAGCCCCTTTTCAGCCCTCTGACTAATGCTTTTAGTAACTCCACACCTCCTCCTAATTTCCACACTACGAATTCTCTGCACAATATTTACACCACACGTTGCACTTAGACAGGACATCTCCACTGCCCATAGCCGCCTCCTCGCTGCAGCATTTACAACCCATGCTTCACACACATATAAGAGTGTTGGTACCACTATACTCTCATACATTCCCTTATTTGCCTCCATGGATAACGTTTTTTATCTCCACAGATACCTCAATGCACCAATCACCTTTTTTCCTTCATCAATTCTATGGTTACCCTCACTCCAACCTGAATCTTACTCTCCTCATAACAATTTTTTACAGCATTCAGTAATTTACTACCTCTTCCATACACTTGCAACATCTACCACATTGCTCCCCTATCCACTCTATCATATGCCTTTTCTAAATCCATAAATGCAATGAAAACTTCCCTACCTTTGTCTGAATACTGTTCACATATATGCTTCAATGTAAACACCTGATCTACACATCTACCCATTCTAAACCCTCCTTGCTTATCTGTAATCCTGCTCTTTGTCCATTCAAACATCCCGCTGAGACAGTTTTCTTCTTTTTCTTTTAAGTAGGCTATATGGGAAAAGGGGTTACTAGCCCATTGGTCCCGGCATTTTAGTTGACTTTTACAACACGAATGGCTTACTGAGGAAAGATTCTTATTCCACTTCCCCATGGATATGAAAGGAAAAGTAATAAGAACAAGAACCATTAAGATAAAATAAAAGAAAACTCAGAGGAGTGTATATACATAAATATGTACATGTATGTGTAGTGTGACCTAAGTGTAAGTAGAAGTAGCAAAACATACCTGAAATCTTGCATATTTATTAGACAGAAAAAAAGTCTCCAGCAATCTTACCATCATGTAAAACAAATACAGGCTTCCATTTTATACTCGGCAGTATGGTAGTACTTCCCTGGGTGGTTGCTGTCTACTAACCTGCTACCTACAATTACCTACTACCTACCTATTATTATTGTTATTTTTCTTATTATTTTTTTTTTTCAGGAATGAGCACAAAGCTGTTGTACAAAAATTTCAAGAGCAAGAGAAGAAAAAACTGGAACAAAATAAAAAAGAAATTCAGTCTAAACTTGAGGAAGAACATAAAAAAGCTGTAGAAGATGCAAAAACTCGGATAGAAAAGGAAAATAATGAGAAAAAGAACAAAGTAATCAAAGAGATGGAAAGAAAGAACAATGAAGTACTAGAAAAAATAAAGTTAGAGTTTGTGCAAGATATGCAGCAGAAGAAGGAGAAGATGCAGAGTGAACATGAGGAGGTCAGTGCTTCTTAAAAACATTGACAGAGTGGCCTTTTTTTTATTTACTTATTCCCTAATATAGTTGTACTTTACTGGCTCATCCATAGGCTTCTGCATACTGAGATTTTATTTGATATGATACATCCCTTCCATATTCTTATAATTTTATGTAGGGTACAATATATCCCTTGCATTGTTTTACAGGGTGTCTTGCTGGGTCTTATTGAAGAAGTTCAATCCAAGCAGCTAACGACAACTGTTTGATTTCATTAAAAACATACATCATACATACATACATACATGCTTATATATATGCATGAGGGTGTGTAAAGAAAGGAAGTTGAAAGTGGACATAGATAAGAGTAAGGTGATGAGGGTATCAAACAAGTTAGGTATGGAAAAATTGGATATCACATTGGAGGGAGGGAGTATGGAAGAAGTGAATGTGTTTGGATATTTGGGAGTGGACATGTCGACGGACAGGTATGAAAATGAAAATGTTTATTTCCTTGCAAAGCTTGCACTGTGTGGTTTACATATTATGGATAACATAATTAATCTGTCCCAGAGAGAGTGTCTTATACCAAATCTGACTTAATCCGAATTAATTTTCCCCGTAAGAAATAATGGAAATCCAATTATCCGTTCCGGACACCCAAAAGTATTAAACAAAATAATTTTTTTACGTGAAATATACATTTCCCTACACAGAAAAGAATGAGACATGCAGAGTAAAATATTACTAAAATGACACTTACCATTATTGAAGACTTATTGATGAGTAATGAGACAGGAGGAGGGGAGAGGCTGGAGGTGTACTATTGTTTGGAAGGGGAATCCCCTTCCATAAAGACTTCTGGTACCAAGTCTTTTTCCGGGGTTACTTCCCTTCTTTGTTTTTTAATGCCACTAGGACCAGCTTGAGAGTCACTGCACAACTGTGGCACTAAATATCTGTCCAGACAGCTCTGTTTCTGGCATCTCTTTAAGATTTCCCTAAAATGGGTCACAACATTGTGATTGTAGATGTTGCCAAGACAGCCTGCAACAGCTGTGTCAGGGTGATGTTCATCCATAAATGTTTGCACATAAGAAAGCAGGAACACTGCAGTAGGCCTGTTGGCCCATACTAAGCAAGTCCTTCACAAACTATCCCATTAACAGAATCGTATTTGCCCAACCCACCCTAATCTTGCCACCCTCAACACCACTGTTAATGAGGAGCTGCTCAAAATATCGACTTGGATGACAGCCAATAAACTTACACTTAACACTGGCAAAACCTACTATATTATGTTTGGTAGCAGAGCAGGTGTTGCGCAACTTAACATTAAGATCGATAACACTCTAATTGCCAGACATAATGAGGGCAAATTCCTTGGCCTATACCTCGACAACAACCTAAATTTCAGCACCCATATCCAACACATAACAAAAAAGTATCCAAAACAGTGGGGATCCTCTCCAAGATACGATACTACGTGCCGCAAACTGCCCTTCTCACGCTATACCATTCACTTATGTATCCATACCTCACCTATGCTATCTGTGCTTGGGGTTCAACTGCAGCAACACACCTAAAGCCAATAATAACCCAACAAAAAGCCGCAGTAAGAATAATCACTAAATCCCATCCCTGGCAACACACCCCCCCACTCTTCATAGATCTAAACTTACTCCCTGTTCAGAACATCCACACTTACTACTGTGCAATCTATATCTACAGGACCTTAAATTCCAATATTAACCTTGACCTAAAACACTTTCTTGATAGTTGTGACAGGATCCACAGGCATAACACCAGACATAAACATCTCTATGACATTCCCCGTGTTCGATTAAACCTTTACAAAAATTCAATGTATTTCAAAAGACCTAAAATCTGGAACACCCTGCCTGAAAACTCTAGAACTGCAGACACATTCATCACTTTCAAAACTACAGTTAGAAAACATCTTATCTCCCTGATCCACCTCGACAACTAACTACATGATAACCACCTGGTGGTTCACAATTATACTCACTCACCCACTGACTATAAACCCAGAAATACTAATCTTAGTCTTAAAATAATAAATCCTAACTTGTCATAAGTTTGCCTATGATACTCCAATATAGACACCTTGTATTGTGCCAAAAACATAAGCATTCACATTGCTAAACTCACAAATTATGATGTAGTCGCTTACCCTTAATACCATAATCTGTAAGGATTTAATGTTAAGAATTAATCTAAGTCTGCTCGAAATGCCTAGCCATGCTATGCGTCCTAGTGGCCCCCTCTGTAATTAGTATTTTATAACATGTAAACCACACAATACCCAAAGCCTGTAAACCCCACATTGTAACCCTTATAGAGAATAAACTTGAATTGAATTGAATTGAATTTGATCATTTTTTTCACTCATGCGCAAGTCCCACTCAAATCAAATCATGTGTATGGGGAGTACTCTGGCTGGTATGTGGGGAAGTACCCTGGCTGGTATGTGGGGAAGGGTCCTGGCTGGTGTGTGGGGAAGTACACTGGCTGGTATGTGGGGAAGTACCCTGGTTGGTGTGTGGGGAGGTACCCTGGCTGGTATGTGAGAAAGTACCCTGGCTGGTGTGTGGGAAAGTACCCTGTCTGGTATGTGGGGGAAGTACCCTGGCTGGTGTGTGGGGAAGTACCCTGGATGGTATGTGGGGAAGTACCTTAGCTGGTGTGTAGGGAAGTACCCTGGCTGATATGTGATGAAGTACCCTGGTTGGTGTGCCACCATCACTACCACCTTCTACCACCACCACTTTCGTATCTTTCTACAAACTTTTTCTTGAATTCTATAGTGTTTCTCACCCTCTACCAAAAGGCTGGCACAAGAAGCTTTCTTTAGGCCCATGGTGACTTATTTAGCAGTTACAAGCACTAAAAACAATGGAATAGTACAAAATGCATTGCATGTACGCATGGAATCATCCTCACTGGCTGGTAAACAATGGCACATTGGCTGTATATGGAGTGTCCAGGCCGCTCATGGCATGCGAACACGTTCGGGACGAATAACTTGAACCGAGTTCAGTGTCGTTAACTGAGCCAGTACTTTGACGCACAAGCGTTACTTAATCTGATGACGTCTTAATCCGGGGGCCCACTGTATTAATTACAAAGAAGGCCACTAGCATACCTACGCATTTCGGGCAGACTAATCCTAATTCTTACTCTATATTGACACAGGTCATGGAGCAGTACATTTTAATATACATTATTGCATACTGATATAAAGGTTAGGTAACTGAAGTGATTAACATTAATTAGATTTCTAATAGTGAGGTAATACAAAACATATACAGTGGAACCCTGAGTTTCGGCCATAATCCATTCCAGGAGCTATGCCTAAACTCGAAATGGCCGAAAGTCGAAGCAATATTTTCCATAAGAAATAATGTAAATACAATTAATCCGTTCTAGACCCACAAAAATATTCACAAAAAATACATATGATAGAGTGGATAGAGGAGCAATGTGGCAGATGTTGCAAGTATATGGAATAGGTGGTAAGTTACTAAATGCTGTAAAGAGCTTTTATGAGGATAGTGAGGCTCAGGTTAGGGTGTGTAGAAGAGAGGGAGACTACTTCCCGGTAAAAGTAGGTCATAGACAGAGATGTGTAATGTCACCATGGTTGTTTAATATATTTATAGATGGGGTTGTAAAAGAAGTAAATGCTAGGGTATTGGGGAGAAGGGTGGGATTAACTTATGGGGAATCAAATACAAAATGGGAGTTGACATAGTTACTTTTTGCTAATAATATTGTGCTTATTAGAGATTCTAAAGAAAAGTTACAAAGGGTAGTGGATGAGTTTGGGAGGGTATGTAAAGGTAGAAAGTTGAAAGTGAACATAGATAAGAGTAAGGTGATGAGGGTATCAAATGATATAGATAAAGAATAATTGGATATCACATTGGAGAAAGGGAGTATGGAAGAAGTGAATGTTTTCAGATGTTTGAGAGCTGACATGTCAGAGGATGGGTTTATGAAGGATGAGGTTAACCATAGAACTGATGAAGGAAAAAAGACAGAGTGGTGCTTTGAAGTATCTGTGGAGACAAAAAAATGTTATCTATGGAGGCAAAGAAGGGAATGTATGAAAGTATATTGGCACCAACTCTCTTTTATGGGTGTGCAGCTTGGGTTGTAAATGCTGCAGTGAGGAGGCAGTTGGAGGCAGTGGAGATGTCCTGTCTAAGGGCAATGTGTGGTGTAAATATTTATTTTTTGTTTTTCTTTATTTATTTATTAATTTGAACATGATACATTGAAGTACAAGGAAATACAGTGGTTAAGTGTAACATGCCAAAGCCCCTTCTATGCAGAGCATTATGGGCAGGCTTAAAATTAACTTAAGATTAACTAAGCAATGATATATTCAGTGGTAAACATTGTTGTAAACAGTTAACAATTAAGCACAAATGAGTATTTCAAAGACAGGTCATATGGTCATTTACTGTGTTGCTGTGCATTCAGTAGAATGGAGTATTCTGTTAGATAATGTAATTAAAAATAACAAAGTTTGATTAGGTCACAGGTTAAACATTTATGAGATACAATTATTCAGTATTTATTTGGTTGTGGGTGAGTAAGTGATTTTTAAGAAGAGACTTGAATTTATAAACAGACAGTGTTTCTTTTATATTCACAGGTAGTGAATTCCAGATTTTTGGGCCTTTTATGTGCATTGAGTTTTTGCATAGTGTGAGATGGACACGAGGAATATCAAAGAGTGATCTGTGCCTTGTGTTATGGTCATGTGTTCTGTTGAGGTTGGCAAGGAGATGTTTGAGGGGAGGGTTTATATCCGAGTTAAGTGTTCTATGTATGTAGTAGGTACAATAATAGGTATGGATGTTTTGTATGGTGAGTAGGTATAGAGTTTTGAATATTGGTGGAGTGTGCTGCCTGTAGTGGGAATTTGTTATCATTCTGACTGCAGCCTTTTGTTGGGTAATTAATGGTCTGAGATGGTTTATTGTTGTTGAGC